TTTTATTTCTTTATGGTATATTGCGTCCGATGTGTTTGTCATTCTTCTCATACAGCTTAGTGCTGTATTTTGTAGCATGCAGAAGGGTATATATGCGATCTTGTGCTCTATTCAAGAGGCCACCAGCTTCGTGCGGTTGATGTTCTTCCGCAGAGGTGAAGAGATTCGGAAGGTGTGCACTTCTAGCGTTGCTCTAAACTATGCTCGTCGGATTTGGCCTCTTCTTTTCTTCTTTTCCTCTTCCCTTCACATATCACGCCTTTTGTGCTCAGAGAGGTTAAGTGCACTGACTGTATACTAATAAGATGAAGGTCCAATAGGATGTATTCGGGCTGTACCCACGTACAGAATTAATATACATGAGAACGGCGGACTGTTATGTGAGAATTTCAGTGGCTAGGGTGCGGTAGGTGTTGATCGCTCCCTTTTCTTTACCCTCCCAACCTTGGTAACTCGTGATTAACTTGGGTGGTTACCCCTTTACTAATGTTTTATTTAATTCAACATATACAATATGACTTCAGCGTAGGATCGTACCGGCGACGGACCTTTCTATACAATTTATCGGTACATTTTAATTAAAGTAAACTTCAGATAACAATCATCTGATCCATATAAGAATGCTTTACTCTTTAGCTTTTCCTTTTTTTTCTTTTGCCTAAACTACGGTGTAACATGGCGGTGTTAAACTATTATATATATTCATGTTAATACACGAGCATTCCGAGTGCGATAAAGCCGATTAAATAATTCGTTCGCCAATAATAGGCCGTACTCACTGTAAATTATATTCAGACTTGTCACTCACTGTTATATCCATCGGTGCAGGTTCGTTGGGCCCATCGAAAGTGCAGTTGGTGTGGTGCCTTAAAGCTTTTGGTAGCTGTGCATAAAGAAAATTATTTAAACGGAAATCGCTGCTACGGGTAACGCTACTATGTACTCACAGGAAATTTGTATATTAAGGTTACATTAAAAAAAAACAATAAAGAAAGCAAAGAAAATAATTAAAATCTAAGAATCCAAACTCAGATTGGCTGGCCTCCAGACAACATCAAACAGCTGATAATCCTATGCGGCTTGACGACGGATAATTCCAACTAGAACGCATGCGCGCGAGACATCGAACGAGCTAAACTATTCGATTGCGGTTAACTCTATTTCGTTTCCAGATAAACACTTCTCTTTCACTCCTTTGTGTCACACCTACGCTTCACGCTATCAAGCGCGGCTATACTCTGCCGAGTAAGATAAGGTATGCAAGACACAACTCGGTCGTTTTAAGCATTAGACAAATATATAGCGATGAAAAGGGCCGGTGTAAACTTTAAGTTGAGCCAACTGCGCCTCAGCCGGTGTGAACTGGAGCTTAACTAATTCGCCGAATAATCGCCGAAATAGGGGCGGTGATTGAGTATGGGGCTCTTTCGGCCGGTCGCCGGATTATGTTTAATGTTTAGAACGCGGGGGCGCTGATACGCAACGCCACCTACATTTGTCGCTTGTGATATTTAACGGAACTATGGCGTGATTGCTTGTCTTATTCTTTGATGCCGTTTCTTGTCGCTTTATGTATAAGGTGCGAAACTGACGCGAGATACAACCGCCGAGGCGTGGGAGCGAGATGACATTAGGCTGACCACCTCGAGAGATAATACTCTACTTTAGTTGCTGGGTATATACGACTTAATATTAAAAGTTTAATTTTTCAAACTTACTGGCCCCCACAATTTATAATCATACTTTTTGGGTGATTAGAGTTAAAGTTTAGTATTCGTCCATATGCTATGGGTTTCATATATCATTTAATTTTAAGTGAGTTGACTACTCTGTTTACTAATGTGTCTAAAAATGGTAGTTTCCCGTCTTGTTCTAGTTCCACTGTGAATTTGATGTGTTTGTGAAACGAATTTAATTCTTTTAGAATTTTGTGTACTTCTGTTTTTTCCGTTACAGCAAAAAGGTCATCTACATATTTTGTCAGAAGTTTTGATTTTGTTGTTAATTTATCAGTAATATTGTCCAACAGTTCTTCCATTATTTTGTCCGCTATTACTGGGGAGGCCGGTGATCCCATTGGCATTCCTTTCTATTGTATGTATCTTTTGTTGTCATATTTAAAATACCTATTCTCTTGAATACAGAATTTAACTATGTCCATAAATAATTGTTTAGGTATAGTTGTGTGTTCCTCCAATTAAGTCCATTTTCGTCTTATTGTGTCCAGTACCAATTCTATTGGTATGCTGGGAAACAGGGATACTACGTCAAAAGATACTAATATTTCGTCTTCCCTGATAGTGGCGTTGTTGACTCTTTCTTTGGACTCTAACGCATTCTTAATGTTGTATTTAGAGTCCGTTGGCAAGTTTCTTAATATTTGTATAATATATTTGCATAGTCCATATGATAGGGAACCGATAGTGGAGCATATTGGTCTCAGAGGTGTTCCTTCCTTGTGAATTTTCGGTAGTCCATATATTCTTGGGGGTACCGCTGTGGTATTAATCAACTTATTTCTTTCGTCCTTTGAAATAAGTCCCATCTTAAATATTTGTGTCACAAGGCTGTTATTCTTTGTCTGTAATCTTGATGTCGGGTCCTGTCTCAATGTTCTATACGCGCATAAGTCATCTAAAATATTGTCATTTTATTATTGTAGTCGTCGCTATACATTGCTAAGGTTTGGTTACCCTTTTCAGAAGATAATATTTTGATATTGTTATTTTCTTGTAAGAATTTACGTGTTGTTATTATTTTCTTTTCTATTTTCTTCTCGCTCTCAAAAAACGCTTTGGAGTCAGCTGTGTTCATCAGATGTTCTATGTTTGGTTTTTCTGTTTCCATATGTTTGGTTTGTTTTTGTAATAAGTTATGTTTGTGTTTTATAAATAAGCTTAATATCTTGGTATGGAAAAAGTGTGTGTGTCTAATGTCTAACGCCTTAGTTATGTCAGGGTGGATTTTGTTGTCAGTGGGCAATTGTTTTGTCAAGTTCCTAATAAAATTAGGTATTAGGTTGGATTTCCTGCACTTTAAAAGGAATTTTAAGCTAGATTTAAATTGAACTAACTTTACCAATGTTATTTGAAATTTGTTAATTGTTTTTCTGGAGTCTTTGTACTTAGTTCTTATTTTTGCATAACTTATGTTTGGTGTCATGCTTTCGGCGTGCCTTCCGTTGGTATTTAATGTTGTATTTGGTGACTTTTCCATTTTATAATTGTATGTTTGGCTAGCTCGAGTTCCGGGGTTTTTTTTATCCTAGACAAAATAAAAAAAAGCAATTTGTTTGAATTTAACCAATATATTTAGGCTGCACTTCGGCAACCGTCTACAGGGCACTAACACAAAAAACAAAAACAATTAACATTAAGATACATTAAATATAATTAAAACAATTCCTTTAACAATTTAAAACAAGTAAGAGGTTCTAGTCGGGAGCTCCCGACTATGGAATACCCTGAACCCTCTTCTTCCAACACCAAATGCAGATCGCGCTACGCGCTCGTTTGATTTAGTAGTAATAAATATAAATGACAAGAAAAAAAAAAATTGTTCCCTTAGCAGGGTCGAACTCGCAACTAACCGCACCACTTACCGCTGCCTCTACTCAAGGGCCACACCAATAACTGTGCTTTAATGAGAAAAAAACCAATTAAAATAACAGCACAGAAAACAATACAATCTTAATTGCAATGCTATTGATAGAATTCAAAGCAGACGCGCATGAATGTGTGTGTGTGGACATGTATACAGAAATTCTTGGAATTTGCGCAGCAGCTATGCTGCTAACATGTGCGCGCAATTTTTCGACAGTACATTTTATTGTAGAATAGAGTAAAGAATATTTGTGTATTCTTAAAAATGCAATTGCATATAAATTGTGGCTTAAATTGATGGGCAATACAAGTTGGATAATAAACTTGATTTATAGCTTTTCGGTGGTAGCTGGGAGGTGGGGATAGGTATAAAATGAAAGATACTTGATATATATATACTATTCTAGAAGCTACATGTTAAGTTTGGTGACTCTAGCTCATATTATTTGCCGAAATTGCTCAAAAAACAAGATTTCGATATCGATTTTTATCGATTACTTGGAAACGGGACAAGTTATCGAACATTTTTATGACAAATAAACAGGGGTTTAATGGCGGATACATATGAATTAGATGTGATTTTATGCTATTGTAAATGACAGGATATGAATAAGATTAATAAAAACTCAGTAATAAAACTATGTATTCTGCTCCGAAAACTATTTTGTTGTCAAATGTATACGATTTTTTTTTTAAATTAATATTTTGAAAAGCACGGAATACAAACCAATTGTCATGAGCTTTAATTGGCTTGACTAAAAGCCTGCGAGTATCTTAAGATTCTTGAAGTAACGAATAAGCCCTCGGCCCACTCCACTTCGCAATCAGGACATTTGTGAAATTTTTTTCTTTTTTTTTCATTCCTAAGGGCTTGTTTGTTTTTAAAACAAGTAATTAAGGATATATTAGGCTCGCCAAAGATTTAATACACTTGTAGACATTTTCTTTACGGCTTTGAAGAGTTTTTTTGTTAAAATAGTAAATCTTGTATGTGCAGAGTTTATTGAAATTATTTTATTAAACTAATCTTTGACCGTTGGATCGTTCTATGACAGCAAAATTGTGGGTGTATAGTGGTCCGATGTTGATAAGATTTTGCATATATAATGCTTCAGATCGTTCCAATGACAACTATATGATATAGTTGACCGATCCGGCCGGATCGATAGCTTTAAAACTGAGAGACTAGTTCGCATAGCAACAGACAGACGAACAGACGGACTTGGCTCTATTAGCTCGGCTGTTGATGCTGACCTAGAATTAATATATTGTATGGGGTCAGAGATATGTATATACTTCTAAGCATTACACATTTAATGACAAAATTATAATACCCTCTACTAGGGTATAAAAATACTGATGTGTAAATATTTGTATATTTTTTATTTTCTTTTGAAGGATAATTTTGGTATCGAGAAGATATACGTCTCCGAAGACCCACTCCAAATAGTTGACAATCACTTCAGCTTACCCAGTGAAAAAATTGATCTCCTACGACCTCATTCGTGTTTTCCAATACCTGAGGAAAGCTATACATTATGTGAAATGACATTTACTTGGCATCTGTTTGGAGGAAAAGATTTTCCAGAATTTATTATTAGCCACAAGTCAACAGATAATACGAGGTATGTAAAATGGCTTTAATAAAATATGTATAAATATAATTTTAGTTTGGGTACTCACAGCTGCCTGCAAAGCTATATATTGTAGACTCAGGCAGCTTTGCTAAAACAATATATAAGGACATATAAAGATATGTCATTAATGTCAAGAGCAGCTTAACGCTTATTCTGAGTCGGCAGTACTTTGTTAGCTTATGCTTCTTCGAAGCGATACTCGACCTATAATTAAACGTCCTGCATTCTACACAAGTGATGTCGAACATCGATTCACGCTGAGAGCCCGCTACCGGGATACCAACAATATTGGCTCAAACAGGACGCCTACCGACACCATTACTGGATTCATTGTTAAGGCAACTTGCATTATTTATACATATTCTTTTTCAGCATCAATAACCGAGTTGATGAAGCCATGTTCATATCGCGGAATGAAATTAATGAGTTCGACTATATTTTTTATTAGAGAAATAATTAACATATAAGTTTCTAATAATCTTATGATTTGAAGAATTTGAGCTATAGCGCTATATATCAAAATATTATTGTATATTGACTAAAGGGCTCGCGAGCACAGTCGACAATAGCCTTCACACGGGTTCTTTTTGGATTTGTGTTCTTTTACAGTTAGATGTAAAGAATTTTAAAGGCTCGTAGGTGCTGACTGGTTCATTGTCCAAAATTCAACTAACTCTAAAGAACATATTTTCTTATAATGCAAGATAGCCATACTCCCTAAAATCGCTGACATTGTGCCTCGTACATGGTCTCGTATATCGGCCGGCAGCGACTGCAACTTTTGTTGCCGTTCAATGCCCGCAAAGGCCACTGACAGTGCAGCACAACACGCTAGTTATGCGTGATTGGTTATTGACCCGCTCTGTTGTTGGGTAATCGTGTTAACTCCCCCCTCGCTTAAGTAAAGTATGTCCCTGAAACCTTTGATGAGAGCCAGAATGTTTCGTTGACCTCGAGTCGCCTGGCACCTCTTGTAGAATCTGAAAGAGGTAGACAGACCAAGAAAATAGTAGCGGTCAATCCATATATTAGGGGCCATTTAATCAATTCCTTCTCGATTTCGCCATTGTACCGCACGTTCTCTATACTCAGTCTTTGTAAGTACAGTTTACTTCATATTTCATGGTGGCCTGTTACATTGAGCAATGTTTTCGCCGCTGGGCCAGGAAATTTGTTCACATAATTGTTTAGGTTACGGTATAGAGTACGATTTACCAAGACCTCTTCGTCGTAGCACTAATCATTGAACATATAGAATGGACAACTAGAGTAAATGAATGGGACCATGCTTATTTTTATCGACTGGTCCAAACTCCTCTTCGTTTTTGTTCGGGTCCGCGACACGCTCACATGCTCAGACAGAAAGAGAGCAAGAAATACATACGACGTTGCATGACGTTGACCTAGCGATTTACTTGGTGCAAGAGGGTTGATGATTTTGTTAGTACACTTAACTTAGCGATTGTGCTAGACCAAAGATGCTAGCAATTTATGTGATCCCAAAGGGTTTGCTCTTTCGCCAGCAATTTTTACTTAGCGATAAAGCTGTCGCAAAGGGTTTTGGTAGTTTTTTAAAACAAATTATTATTTTATTTAAAAAATTGCCTTTGCATACAAACATACATACTAATAACCTTATAATTAAGAAGCTGCATTGCTTTTCGAAGCTGGTCTTCTGGAGAGCCCGCAGCAACTCCCTTTGATATGGACTCTGTTATAAAAAGTTTATCATTTATTTTAAATTTTTTCGTTTTTTTTTTATATAATACATACAAATTAACACGTGATAAAAATAAATACACTACAATATTTATAAATTTATTTAAAGTTTTCCAGTTGAATAAAATATGCACATGCAACTCATAACTTTACTTTACAAATGACGCGTTTTAAAGTTTCCTCGTGCCAGACAGAATCACAAGTAAAGGGAAGCTACACATTGAGCTTGTCGCCTAAACAGTTCTTGACTGCAAAATCTAGGGAACTCGGAAACTTTTTATTGTTCGTCATCAATTTTTTGAGACGAAGAATAGACCTCGTAATAAAAAATTCTTTCGCACTTTCGTTTTGATCGGCATGCATAGCATTACCATTCGCTAAAGAATTTCCTAACGACTAGTAATGCATAAGATGGATAGTAGTCATCTTTTTCTGGGGGCCATCGCATGACCGTTCGTTGGCGAATTACCTAACAAACGGTGAAGCATTAGATCTTAAGTAAAGGCAGAACACAGAGTATGTATGTCTAGGGATTGTTTAAATGTATGTGTGTGTATGTGTCCGCACAAGCAACAATTCGCACAAATTCAATTTCTTCTCAAATGTCGGAATAATATGAACTCAGGGGGTTGCCACGTCGATGCGAAATTCTTGCATATTTCTTGCCTAAAGCGTTGGCATGTGTGCATTTAAAATTTTCTGGACTTGCATTTACTCACACACACTTATTATGTATATGAATATAAGCATTTATGCGTTTGTGTGCCTGTTGGTGGTAACAAGATTTGAAGTTTTTGGGGTTTCTAAATTTCGAGCTCTACACACACACGCACACACACACAAATGTGTGAAAAGTTTATTATTGGCACGCGTCTGACGCGTGCCCTTCTTTTTTATGATTTCTGGTTTGGATTGAATAAACTGAATTGAAAGCTAAATATAATATGTCACTAAGGAAGCTTTTTCATATAGATCCCTGGAAAATCTTTGGAGCAAGAAACGTCACCCACCAAATCTTTGACCCCCATTACCACCAAGGAGGAATGGATTTTTCGAAAAGTATGAAACACCCCTCTAATGATTTTGAGTTTAAGTCCGATCGGATGGGTAGCAAAAAACTCTCATAAAAATGTTTTTCGCTTATTAACCACTATTGTGGGTGGAATTATCCAAATCATTGAGACTCGTATTCATTAAGTTCTTGTGTAGAGCTTTGAAAATAAGTTTGAAGCAAATCGGGCACAACTTAAAATTTCACTAAAAAAATCTTTGAATCGCACTTTCCACCGAGGAAGCTTGAATTTTGCGAAAAATGTGAATCACGACTGAAATGATTTTTCATATAGATTCTTTGAAATGAATTTGAGTGCGAAATGTCACCCACCAAACTATTTATAAACAAGTAAGAGGTTCTAGTCGGGAGTTCCCGACTAGGGTATACGCTGAACCCTCTTATTCCAACACCAAATACAGCTCGCGCTACGCGCTCGTTTGCTTTAGTAGTAATAAAGATAAAAAAAAAAAAAGAAGTTCCCATGGCAGGGTTCGAACTCGCAACTAACCGCACTACTTGCCGACGCCTCTACCCAACAGCCACACCAATACTTAAGTCTTAATGAGAAAAAGCAATTTAAATAGCAGCACAGAAAACAATACAATCGCAATTGCAATGCTGTTGATAGAATTCACAGAAATTCTTGGAATTTGCGCTTGCTGCCCCAAAAACGTGGTCAGCTAAAACACATTATCTTTTGTGTTTCTTAACCGATCTCGATGAAATTTTCATATTTTTTTTATTGTACTATAAAGTATTCATTATTTTCAAAATGACAACTGCATTTAAATTGTGGCTTATATCGATGGGCGGCATAAATTTGTTTATTTACTTGATTTATAGCTATGAGGTAGTAGCGGGGAGGTGGTGATAGGTTTAAAATGAAAGATACTTGATATATATACTATTCTAGAAGCTACATGTCAAATTTGGTGACTATATTATTTACCAAAATTGCTCAAAATACAGGGTTTCGATATCGATTTTTATCGATTACTTGGAAACGGGGCAAGTTATCGAATATCGGAACTAGGAACTAGGAGGAGCTAAGATTTCAAGTCTCTAGCTCTTATAGGTTCTGAGATCCTTGCGTTCATACATACGGACGGACACAAAGAAATTTGAGGACGCCAGGGCGGTTATGTCAGCCGAGAAACGGCTTCAGACGTATATCAAGAAGTGCTCGAAGACTTCCTGAACTGTTTGGGGGCAAGAAATCTTAAATCAGCAAGAGGTCCAGACGGGCTGTCCTATAGCATGCTCCAGAGGCTATCAGCAGAAAAGAAAGTAGAGCTATTCACATTCTGAACGAAATATGGCAACGACAAATAATCCCATAAATCTAGAGATTAATAAAAATTGAACCGATCCCAAAAAGAAGCACAGACCCGACTATAGACCCATTTCGCTGCTCAGTACTTTGTTCAAATCGACAGAAGGGCTAATCAAAATTAGGTTTGATCGGCCACCTCGCGCAATGTATTAACGATCTCATAAATGAAATTCAAGAGCTTAAATCTAATATCCTCCATGTCGTGACGGCATGCTTGGACCTACATAAGGCCATTGACTGTGTGTTGGGGGACAGATTAGTACATAGACTTTGGGCCATGAGATTCAGTGCAAGCGAGGTTAGTTGGATCGCAAGTTTTCTCAGCAGACGGATACTCACTGAGGGTAGTGGTTGACAGGGGAGTATGTCAAGGCAGCTGTCTAAGCCCGACGCTATTTAACCTGTACACAGCGGAGGAAAAATTCAACTTTCTCAACCTTTCTTTTAACCCCACAAAGTCTAAAGACATTCACTTCAACAAGCGTAGAGAGCCCCTTTACATCAGCAATAATGGCGTACCGATCCAAGAGACCAGATAAGGTATCTAGGTAGAACAGTGGCAGCAAACAATTCGGCATGTCCCCATATCAGTAGAGCTATTTTGGACGCAAAACAGGTCCTGCGCATTCCTCAATCTGCTAAGCGGATGCACTTTCGGAGTGGACTCCAGAAGGGGTTTAACTCTGTATTAAGCGTTCGTACGCAGCTGACTGGAATACGCATGTTCATTTTTCAATAACCTATCCAAAGCAGCACTAAGTAAAATCAAAACACATTGTAATGCGCACCTCAGAAGGGCACTAGGGTTCATAAAATGCACTCCGATACCCATCGTCTACCACCTGGCTTCGGAGCTCCCTCCCAAATACAGGGTTAAATTTC